TTACAGGATATCCAAAAATATAAGTTGGCAAATCCAAGAACATTTCATTACTTAAACCAGTCGAATTGCTATGAGCTTGATGGCCTTGATGATGGCAAAGAATATATAGCAACGAGAAAGGCAATGGACACTGTGGGAATTAGTGCTGAGGAACAGGTATTAACTTAAGCATTACTGGAAAAATTTAATGGTTTTATCTTAATACTAAGTTGTGTTGATTAAATTTCCCTATTTATCAGGATGCAATTTTTAGAGTTATTGCTGCAATCCTCCATCTTGGGAACATTGAATTCATGAAGGGAAAAGAAATTGATTCATCCATGCCTAAAGATGAAAAGTCTTGGTTTCATTTAAGAACTGCAGCTGAACTTTTCATGTAAATCATATTTTTAAACAAGAGCATACATTAGCTGACTTTATTGGACTATTCATTTTCTGGGAAACTTATGCATATATTACAGGTGTGATGCAAAGGCTTTGGAGGATTCCCTTTGCAAACGTGTAATCGTGACTCGTGATGAGACCATCACAAAGGAGTTGGATCCTCAGGCTGCTACTTCTAGTAGAGATGCTTTAGCCAAAATTGTCTACTCGAGGTTGTTTGACTGGTAAGCATCACATGACACTCTGTAAGAGTGTGGATTTGTATGTTTAGATGAAATAGCTTAATTTACTTTTTGTATTATTTTTGTAGGCTTGTGGATAGGATTAATAGGTCAATTGGTCAAGATCCTAATTCGAAGTGCTTAATTGGAGTTCTGGACATATATGGATTCGAAAGTTTCAAGACTAACAGGTGCTTAACCGGTATGCTTTGCCTTATTGATTGTTGGCATAATATGTGTTAGTCAGTCAGTTGCGAAGTATTATAATTATAGTATTTAATGGACAAAAAAGCATATTAGTTTAATGTTTGCATCTGTTGAATCTTTTGTTTGTAAGTGTTGTTCCAGATATTTCTACCTTGTACATTCTGCATCTTCTCGTTATGGTATTGGAGTTGGGACGCATGCCCTCAGTGCGCGTGCATGATTTTGAGTTAGAAAACTTAATTTATTTTCACACTTTTTTGTGTCATGTATGTGCTACTTTTGTCAGACTAATAGACCCCAAGCTTCCTTCAAAAAACAATTTAACAAGATGCTTAACATACACCTTCAACAGTTTGGAGAGGGCAATGCTTTGTTTGAAAAGTTGGACACTTGCAAATGAATATTGCTAATAGTTTAAATGTTACATTGATGCAGTTTCGAACAGTTTTGCATAAACTTGACCAATGAGAAGCTCCAGCAGCACTTTAATCAGGTATCTGATCTTATCAGTTTACAATTCTTTCTGGTGATATTTATGAATTTTGTATCAGTTTAATGATGATCAACTTCTTATGTTCCAGCACGTATTCAAAATGGAGCAAGAGGAGTATACAAAGGAAGAAATTAATTGGAGCTACATAGAGTTTATCGACAATCAAGATGTTTTAGATCTAATTGAAAAGGTTTGATTTACGCAGCTGTAATTTATTCCCAAAATTTTCTTGTTTCTTTTTGGAAATGTCATTAGTTTACTTCTTAAACATCTATGTTTTGTCATTTGTTCTTCCGTCTTCTATTATTCTTTATAATAAACGATCTCTCTTTTTTTGTTTTTTTTTTTTTTAAAAATTTTAGAAGCCAGGTGGCATTATCGCACTCCTTGATGAAGCCTGGTATGTGGCGACAACTGTTTTACTGTTCTTTAGTCTGACAACTCACTGTGCTGATATTTCCTGATAGTTCTGGTGACAATTTTATTTATTTATTTATTTTTTCCTCCTCTGCTTTGTAGCATGTTTCCTCGTTCAACTCATGAAACATTTGCACAAAAGCTGTACCAGACCTTTAAGAACCACAAACGTTTCAGCAAGCCCAAATTAGCTCGTTCGGACATCACCATTTCCCATTATGCTGGTGATGTAAGTTCATAGTTTTTCTGTTATTTTATCATGTGTCATAACCGTCAGTTTTATTACATTATCCTTTTTTGAACACTTGCATAAATTTCCTGCTTGAACTTACGTACTGTGGTTTTAGTTTTACTGGCATGCGGGATTATAAAATCTATTTATCAGGTAACTTATCAAACCGAGTGGTTTCTGGACAAAAACAAGGATTATGTTGTTGCTGAGCATCAGGCACTCTTGAATGCTTCCAAATGTTCCTTTGTTTCGGGCCTTTTCCCCATATCAAATGTAGAGTCCTCTAAACAATCAAAATTTTCTTCTATTGGCTCAAGGTTCAAGGTATGAAATTTCTTGTCTAGTTGTTTTCCATTATCATTTCTATTTATCATATCAGATTTGATGTTTTTTTTACATCATACAATTTGCAGCAACAATTACAAGCACTGCTAGAAACTCTAAGTTCAACTGAACCTCATTATATTCGGTGTGTGAAGCCGAATAATCTTCTTAAGCCAGCTATATTTGAGAATCATAATGTCCTGCAACAGCTACGTTGTGGGGTAATATTTTTCTTTTTTCTTTTTTCTTTTTTTCTTTTCTTTGAAATTTACCAAAGCTCACTTGTGTGATATTTGTAATTGTTGAACATATTTATCTAGGGTGTCATGGAAGCAATTAGGATAAGTTGCGCTGGCTATCCAACCAAGAGACCATTCTTTGAGTTTGCTGACCGTTTTGGCATTCTTGCACCTGAAGTTCTTGACGGGAGGTATTATAAGGATTTTCTTACTCGTGTTTTCCCCTTCGGTCAGATTTATATTGGCGTATTAACGTTGATTGGATTAATTGCAGTACGGATGAGGTCGCTGTTTGCAGGAAGCTGTTGGAGAAAGTTGGACTTGAAGGGTATCAGGTGCTTGAATTTCTGCCAAATGTGGAAATAACATATAATTTTATTTTTACTGAATAAAGTGTAATACATATTCTTTCTTTAAGGAATTTTACTGCATAAAATTTATTCTACTTGTATTATTGAAATTTAAAGCTTCTTATTTCAGCAGGACCGCTAATTGAAAGTCATGATATTGTAATTTGTAGAAATTAGTGACCATACTTACTTTTTTCTTTGTTAAATGTGTTATTATTATATTTTGTTGACACTCTTATTCCTCTCTTTTTTCTTAGCTGTATCCAGAGAAAGTGTCATTGGCAAATTTGAATGTCTCACTTCACCGTACCTCATGATATTGAATATCGCAGTCATTAATGCAGTATTTTTTTTTAGATTGGTAAAACAAAAGTTTTTCTGAGGGCTGGTCAAATGGCAGAGCTTGATACCCGGAGGACCGAGGTGTTAGGACGTTCAGCCAGCATTATCCAGAGGAAAGTCCGTTCTTACTTGGCTCAGAAAAGCTTCACATTGTTGCGTCGGTCAACGATTGTTCTCCAATCCATTTGTAGAGGTAATGTGTTTTGAAGGAAATAATTACATCTTTAGTATTGTTTCCTTACCATGCTAATGAACGTTTTAATATATTGAATAATGATAAGTCACTCAATTACTTGAATATAATGAATAATGATGATTATAACAAAAAATAATAAAGTAAATTAACTAAAACAAAGAACACCACAAAAATAA